TGGTTTTCTTAAAACACAAGGTGCGGCTGACTACTAAAGCCCACCCGCTTATATAGCTCGCGCGAAATACGTATTATAATACAACGGTCACGTCCGACATTTTGCTCAAAATGAACTGTCATAACTATTGTCAGGACGCCTACGCCACGGAGACTTTTATCAGTATTTGACAACTAATAAGTATTTCTTTTTTGTCTTGACAGCATTGTCTAATGTAAACGCGCCGTAAGATAACAAGATTATTAAGTGAGTAACGACTCGGTACTTCAAGTCAGGGGTTGTACCTGCTACTAAGTAACGAATACATACGGTTTGCTACAGCTCTAGGTAAGACAGAAAGTGTGTGGCAAATGCTTAAATTTGGAATTATCGAAATTTGTGGTGAACAATTCATTTGCCGAAATTGAGTAGCGAATTATTTTCGATACTACATTGGGCTATTACAAAGTTTTGCGTTGGTACTCACGAACAACTTCGATTATTGAGAAAAATTTGTTTTAAGAGAGACACTAATTATGTCTTATCCATCTCGTGCACCTATACCACCATACATGAACCCAAATATACCTCCTCCTCATGTAAGTTATCGGAAATATATCTAGTTTTAGTGTTAAAATTATATTTTCTGAGTAGATGATGCCGCCAGTACCTTCAGCACCAAGAAGTTATAGAACCTCCGCCACTATCAGCTCTCAACCCACAGTCTATCAGCGTTTACCCGACCCGGTTCCTCAATTTCGAGGTCCGATAATTACGGTTTTTGTTGGTATGTACTACTCTGCATCCTAGGAAATTCGTAATATACACTTGTCCACATATTGTAGGAAATATAAGCGAACGTGTGCCTGAAGCCTTAATTAAAAGAATTTTGTCCGCATGTGGGGTGGTGGTTAATTGGAAACGAGTGTCTACCTTTGGTTTCTGCGAATATGAGTAAGACCCAAATTTTGGTTAATAAACTAAAAATTGTTAATTGTCGCTTGTATATAAACAGTGGACCCAATGCTGGAATGCGGGCTGTTCGTCTTCTCAGTGAACTTGATATAGACGGGAAAAAACTTGTCGCTAAAGTGGATGCAAAAAATAAACTTCTGTTAGACAACTTTAAGGAAGAAGAATTAAAGAATGGTATTAATGTGTCAGCGGTGGATGAAAAGTCTGAAGATGACTTCGTTCTCAATCAAATGAGAAAAATACTTGGTGATCATAAGCACGAATTTGATGAGTTTGACGGAAATTCTCGAGATGTATATGGCGGCAGAATAAATAAGAACAAAGCTGTTCGCATAGAAGATAAAATAACAAAAGTTCTTCACGAAACAAATTTGGAAGAAGAAAAAAGGAACTTAATTAGTACCGAAATTGGGAAATTTAGGAAAAGAGCGGAGGCCGATGAAAATCGGAAGGAGAAAGAGAAGGAGAAAATGAGAGAAAAGGAGAAGGAAAAGGACAAAGAAAAAGAAAAAGACAAGGAGAAGGACAGGGAACTTGAGAAAGAAAGAGATAGGGATAGGGAAAGAAATGTATCTGATACAATGAAGGACGATATTAGTGAAGAAGATTGGGATGCAGATGAGCAAAGAGAAAACCCCTTTAACAAAGTGGAGAAAGTAGTGATTAGCAGGGGTCGCCAATCGAACAGTTTGTCACCTAATAGAAAAGAAAAAGATCGAGACAGCAGAAGGAGAAGGAGTAAATCTCGTTCAAGAGAAAGAGAGCGTGATCGAGAACATAGGGAACGAGAACGGGAACGAGAGAGGGAACGTGAAAAGGAACGTGAGAGAGAGCGTGAGCGTGAACGAGAACGAGAACGAGAACGGGAAAGAGAACGTGAACGTGAAAAGGAGCGTGAACGGGAAAGAGAACGTGAGCGTGAGAGAGAAAGAGAACGCGAAAGGTAAGAATCAAGGCGAATTTATAAAAGGCGGTGTTAACAGAACAAAAACAAAAATTACAATAACAAATTATACGAACATGGACAATCAGTGCAAAACAAAATTACGACAAACACATCATTTTGGCAAAAGGTACAAATTGCCCGTGAAATCAGCGGATCCTATAACAACACCTTGTATAGGTTCGCCTTGGTAAGAATACAACGTTTATTCCGGGCTATCGCAGATTCCATGATAAAAACATTACAAGGTAAAACCATTGAGAGGCAGTCTGACGTTTTCAAGCAATATAATTTTCAAATTCAAAACTCAAACTTACATTCTTATTTTTAATCTCAAACAACAATTGTGAAGAATTTAATTTTTCTATTTTAATTTGTATATGGTTTTAAAATGCTTGAAACGACAGAAAATAAATCATTTGACAACAGTAAATTTTTGACAACCGCAGAATAAAATATAAAATGAAGTGAAATGAGTGTTTTAAGTAAACATCTACCATCATTGATTGTAATTCATCAATTTAAGCTTTTGATCCATTTAATTTAATCAATTAAAGCGTTTGAAACATTAAAGCAATTTATTTACCAAAAATATTTAAAGTAGTGTAATACTTCTTAATTTTGCCACCAGAAACTCGATTTCCAAATATTTTATTGTTTTTGCTTACATTTGAAGCAGAAAAATTATACATATTGGCTGCATTTCTTTATTCATTCTGAACGTTTGGAATAAACTTTTTTGTTTATTTATTCTTTAGAACGTTCCTGATATGTTGACTTATATTTCAAACGCATTCTGTTTATTCCGGCTGTGAAATTGGATTATCCGGAATGTATAAAGAAACGCAGCCATTAACAGCCTGCGTTTGTCAAAATTTTATATGCATTTGTCAATTTAGACTCATGAGCTAGTGAAATTTTATTCACCTCATACTTGTCAAAAATTTACTCGCAGCGAACTTTGTTACCGATTCACACACGCTCTATGAATCAGAATTGATGCATTGACTGACGTATGCATTTAAAGAATATGCTACTTTTGTAGCTATACGGATTCCGTGATTGCATTTTCCTAGATTTCGCGAAAAATCGGACTACCATGGATCCAGTTACAGCCCTGATTACTGTAATATAACTTTGCGGTCATAACCAATTGGACTACAGACGTTTTTCACTTAATTGTAAATTTGTTATTTATGTTGTATTAGAGCGTGTCATTCGCTGTCAAATTGAGAAAGGTAAATTTTATTTCCCCGTGTGAACATGCAGAAAGTCCTTGTCACTTTGTAAATCAGTTTCAGAAATAAAAGTTGCAAGGTGTGATAAAACGCAAATCGATTTCGAAAATTATTTCAAATTGCTCTTGCTGCATTAGCAATTTTTAATTTTGTTGCAAGTACTGTCAAACGATTCTAGTATTGAAAGTTTGAATAAAATAATCTTTATAGCCCAATCCTGTATCGTTGACAAAAAATTTTTACTGACACTTCAACTTATTAGGTTTGCTCGTCGAAAATCCAGCAAGAATTATCCAACACTCAAAATATCAGAAAGTAAGAAAAAATTTCTTTCAAATTCTCTCTCATGTTGAGAAACTTGCAAATTTCTGCACGAACGCAAATTTGTGGGAATTTGAAAGTTTCCCTGCCAGCTGGTGTCCACGGTTGCATTTCAAACATAATAAATTTTTATAGAATTTTTAAAATTCTTTAAGATGGACAAAAACGGGATATACACGTATAGTTCTTGTTGCTCTGACCACAGTATGCAGTAATCCAGATAGCCAAAACAAAAAATGTAAATATGCTTATTTGACATTTTGTTTGAATGTATTGGTTGATATTTTTTCACAGTCGTCGTTTTCGTTAACCCAAATGAAATCCAATTTAAATATTTTCTTATAGTGAAAAATATTTTCAAGTCACATAAAATAAAATAACGAGAAAAACAAAATTCCAAGCAAATCAAGCCTGAAGCGCAAGCGATTATGACCTGATGCAGTTCCTACATAAGTCAAACCGTGTTCCGAACACAACTTTGAGTGAATAATTGTGGGCTGACTTTGTAAAATTGTCCCATCGATTAGGCGGTAAAACAAGTATTAGTTAGAGAACTCTCTAATTTTCAAATGCACGAAATTTGTATGTATTTGTTTAGCCGCTTATTCACATTTGAAAGAGGATAATGCTTGAATTAATGAAAGTAAAGACGGTTTATGCAGATAAGAAAGCGCGTTTACATATATCAAAATATTCAGAATGACGAGATGAATTGGTTCAGCCCTCTCTGTTTGTAAACACGCTAACTCGAACAAAATTTAGATATTTTAACGAAAGTCGGTGTCGAAGTTGCATTTGGTATAATTTAGGTTAGTGTTAAATTTTGGCGAAATCTGCCAATAACCACGCTCACCTCCACATAGTAATTAAAAATATTTTGGTTTTATTATTATTTTTTTTTACGAATTTCGCTGTTCAAATTTACATTTCAAATATATCAACAAATATTTGTGGGTACTTTTGCATCAGTTGTTGTTGTTGTTGTTGTAGCAGCATACAAATTCCCCAAAGACTTTTTGGGGAGTGTTGCTGGAGTGACAATCCTTGGCCAGATATAAATCTGGGTCGTTCCGGTTACGTAGACCCGACAGTCGTTGCCTATGGGTTAATGACAAAAAAATCTTATACATTCACAATGTATTCATGTATTAATTTTCAAATAAGCATATTGTCAATGGTTGGTTTACTGTATACTGTGGTTCTGGCTTTCTTTAACATACATTTCAATTCCTTTATCGTACTAGCTGTCGGGTTTCTTAACACTAGAGTGCACGCGCTCTTTTTTTACACCAATGCACGCGTGGCCTATAGTAGACCATTTTAAAATATTAAATGGTTTTTTAGATAACATTTAAATGAAATTTATAGTTAAATGGCCATATTCATAAAAAATAAAGTAGCTTTATAAAAGGTTTATAAATTAAAAAATGTATGAAAACCTCAATTTATAAAGCTCTTTAAACCTACTTCATTTTTTATGAATAAGGCCAAAAAAATATAGTGGTTGTTCACACTTGCCTGGTTATTAGCCCTGCAAACCATTTTTTCAGAGTATTCTGCATTGTAAAGAAATTTTAAAGAATTCGTTAAGATTTAATTCGATTTTTTGTCGAATTTTCTAAAATTAAATAAATTACGCACACTTCCATTATTTTACGAAATTTCGGAAGAAAATCTGTGAAGCAACGAAAATAATGCTGCTATGTGAAGAATATCTTTCAGCATTTTTCCAGAATTTTCTTTATTTTTCGTACAGAAATTTCTTTACGAGTTCGTGTCAACCCCTTCATATAATTTTCTTTGAAAATTCGTAAAAAAATCGTTACAGAAATCAGATACTCCTAACGATTTCCTTAAGATTTCGGGAACTTTGGTTTGCAAGGAGGTTATCTGGTTAAAAATAATTTTTCTGTAGTGTATTTTGTTGTACAATAACAAAAGTGCATACGCGTGGAAGTCAAGCGCGGTATTCACTCGTCGACAAATTTAATGCAGAAGGCTTTCCTGGAACCGCGTCGCTATAACATACAAAACTGTCAAGGTATCAACAAAAATGTTACGGTGGTCTACTATAGTAGGCCGCGCGTGTACTCTAGTGTTAAATCGACTCTCGTTGCAATTGCATTCCTATTGCGAATACAAATTTTTTCACCCGAGTTAAGTTCAAATCATTGGCGCGTATTCATAGTCCAGCAACTAAGTCGAAACTAACAAAGTTGCAACTTAAATTTAAGTACCAACTTAAAATCTACCTCTATTCATAGTCGCATTTCAAACTTCTACTAAGTAGGTTCGACTTAGTTTACGATATAGCAAAACGAGTGTGAAAATGTATCGATTTTTCTTTACGATATTTTGGAAAAATTACATTTTTATTAAATAATGTCAACTTTGATCATCCGTTTATGTAATTTTTATTTTCATTGCATGATTATGCAAAAGAATAAGGTATCATTTTCTTGTTAATTGTGTGAAATAGCCAGAACAACCGCAGTGATGTGAAGTCGATGTTTATCGAAAGCATGCTGTGAAACATGCAAATAGTAGATATCTAAATGTTATGCACAAATTTACTTTAAAAGAATTAGCGTGAAACTGACTTATTATTTGAGAATTTATCTAAATTATTCCAATTATGATGTAGCTTTATTCGAATTGTAATACGCATTAAATTTCATCTTCCGATTAAAATGGATCGATCTTTGTAAATTTTAATGGGAGATTATTCAATATTATCAAAGTCACCCTCTACCAACTTAATTTTTACATATTTCGTCTGTTTTCCCTTAATTTGATAAAATATATCTTCTTCCTAGTTACGACTTAGTTGCAGCTGCAGCCGAAACTAAATTTTAAGTTGATACTTAGCCAGAAAAGTCGAAACTAAGGCGACTATGAATAGCTTTAGTAGTGACTTAGAATAGTTTCGACTTAGTTGAGTACTAAATATGACTATGAATATGCGCCATTGGAATTAACTAAATTAATTATATCAACAAGTATTTACTTCCTTTCTTCATAAAAAAAAACGCTCGTGTTTATAAGCTTTTAAATTTAACGAACTTATTTATTCAATTTGCAAATTCTCTCAGGAGAATTTTCACTTTGCGCTCTCAGTTTTGGAGTGATGGATAATTTTTTGGTCTGCACGAACGCGATTTGGGCAAAAATCATGATAATTCGTACAAATTTGTACAAATTTTTTGCTCGACGAACAAACCTATTATTTCACTATGGCCACTGCTACAGAAGAGAGCCGTTGTCAACCAGGAACTGCTTGCAGAGCATTATGTTATGCTCCTTAACAGGGAGCATGTGGGCCTCCTCGTGCGGGTGGTGATGCGGCGACATCAAGAGGCATCCTGTCGCTGTCCTAAGTGCCATGTTCTGGCTAGTCTACAGAGTATTCTCTGACTGTTTGTGTGATGACAGAAGATACTT